ATTACTTTTGTTGAATGGTGTGTTGTCTGTGCAATACACCTCCCCCAACCAAACAGGGTCATTCGCACAGGCTCTGAGATGTGGCAAACGGCTTTCTGAGCACTTCAACCTCAAGTCAATTGTGAACAAAACCATGACATCCCAAGATTCCGCACAGCGGCTAGGAATCCACTGACGTGCTGAAACAATGCAACTAACCACCGATGGACCCAGACAATTGCAACACGCGCCCCTAGCTGTCCTTTTGGTTGGGCGTAATTGGATGTCACTGGCAAGTGATCTGAGCCAAACTGATCTGTCAAAAACATGCTTTTCAACTGGCGGGCGCTTGAAGCCATGCTTCCATTGGCCCAACCAAGCAGAACCCAGCCTCCTGTAAATTGAGAGGGGGGGTTCCCAAGGTCCCCCAAGGGAGATTCCTCTCCAAATGGTGGTTTTCTCCATAGCTGGGGAGGGGTTTAAGTGGGATTTGCTTTGAACCCACGCGCGCCTGTCCCAGGGCTTCTCCAACTTGGTGACGCCCGTGCTTTCCACCAGCTCTTCCAGTCGCGCAAAAAGGTCCGCCCTGGATGTCTCACGGGTTGAACCCCCTGCGTTAGAGCTAAACCCCCCGCCCCCACACGGGGGTTGAACGGGGCGGTTTGCCCCTGGTTCTGGGCTTGAAGGTTTGCCTTTTGGTTTCCCTTTCACTTTGATTTCCGTTACCTCCTTTGGGAGGTCTTTGTTTCGCTTTGATTTACTGTCAGACCTCAAAAATGCATCGAGACGTTTGACATCCAACTCAACTGCTGGGCCGTCTCAGGATCCTTGCAAAGTCGCAGTCTGCTTCAACGAACTCAGCTCATGGCAAGCCTGCCGTTGCTGAAAAAAGGGGGTGCTCTCAAACAAAAACAAACCCATCTTTCAACAAGTGTGCGATGGCCCCGCCGTTTCTCACTGGCCTGCCAGAACAGCAGGCGCACCCGTTTTGCAGGCCGACGATGCCATCAGCATCCTCAAATTTCAGGACCTGAAAGGCAGGAACGAGTGAAAGCTAGACGCCAGACATCAGGTCCGCATGTCGTTGGCCTTGAGTTCCTGCTATTGTTGTCATCCACAATGGCTCATGGAACGTGCACAAATATTTGCCCATTGGTGCCCTCGCCCTTGATTGCTCCCAGACCGGTTCCAGTGATCAACATCCTCCACGCTCATGCCCAATACCCCTTACACAGCATCACAACAAAATGAACCTCGGGCCTAAATTTGCGAAATGTCAGACACATCACACATCCACTAATTATTCGGACAAGCCGGCATTGCCTGGAACAACCTCGGATTAATCGGGGCATCATACTAATTCAAGCAATCCCCTCAAACTGACTGATCACTGTCCCGCTCGAAGGAGCGGACCACCCCTGACTAGCATGGTCCTTCGGATTCATCCTAGGACTCTCGCTCGCTCTCTATCTCTCTCTATTCTTACTCCATGTTGGCCTTCACCCTGCCTCTGAGTCAATATTCACCTCCGCCACGTCATTGACCACCACACCAACCTGTCTATGTTGGCAGGGTTGACAGGGAGTCTGCCTACCCAGAACGACTGCATGTGGACAACAGGTTGAATTCGCCGCTTGTGTTTCTGGGTCCCCTTGCCGGGAGTTGTCAAACCAGGGTTGACCAGTACAAAGCAGATCATCACACCTTGCTGCCCTCCTCCCTTTGGCAAGCAATAGGGGGAACTCACCCTGGTTGCACATGCCCCGAACGGTAGCGCAATGATGTAATCAATACAGATCGCAAACAGACTGACTTGGGGCAAACCACCAAAGGCAACCTCTTCAAACATCCCAGATTCCACATGGCAACGCTCGGCTTTTATACACATTCTTTGAGCGAGCACAAGGAAAAGACGAGGGCCTTGAAACCATCCAGGTACATCACCTCAAAAAGCACGCTGCATGGCGTACAGGTGGGACCTGTACGCCCAATTGGGGTATGAAAAAACAAGGCTTAGATACAAGCTTTCAAGCTCCCAGTGCAAACTTTTCAGCCTTCCCTGCCTTGAAGCCCTCTCGGTTCTTGAGCACGTGCTGCACCATCGTGGTCTTCCCTGCGCCTTGATACGGGGGCCCTGTTTGGTTGAGCCCCAACACGCCTTTTGGCCCGTAAACCACACGGTACCATGGGTTAACCGGTTTCATTTGCCATCCTTGTTTTTTGTGCCCTGACCTCCTGCGAGCTGAACTCTTGCCAGCAGTCCCTCGCAAAAGTTGGAGCCTAGCAACCTTCCTCACCATGGACCTGCAAACATACCATCTGCGCAACCTGAGGCAACCTCCCCCTGGTCCTTGGAAAGCGCTACCTGGGCCGGACTCTGTGGCTCTCGGCCCAGAACTTGTTGGGACCGGGACCTGCGGGGCACAACGCCCGACTCCAAAGTTGGGCTAAACGCAAAGTGCGGGGCTAGCGAAGGGAAGGCAGAATCCCCTTTAGGAAATCGAGAATTTAACCCCTTGTTCCTGTGGACGAGCAGGAAAGGCCCTTTAGTCTAGCCACATCTAGCCACCAATCCAAATTCCGAATGAAAGCCCCCTTTAGCCGAGGCATCCCACATCTTCCCAGTCCCAAACTTGCCAGCATCCCTGCTGAAGCCTCAGAGTATCTGCTTGCCAACAGAGACTTGAAACAACTGCTCTTCCCCAGTGTCTGCTTGCGTCCCTCGCAAAGCCCCGCCCCCCCTTCTGCGCCGGGCGGCCCAGAAAGCCGCAAAGGATGGTGACCGGCACCTCGCCAGCGGACAACGCATGCCTCTTCAACATGTGCAAAGGAAACCTGCAACTGATTCGTAGAAAATGCTGACGGACCAAATCCAACAGGTAATTCATCCGAGTAGGGTCTCGTCCATCCAAGTAGGGTGCCGGATGCATCCACTCAGAAGGTCAAGGGTAATTGAGCCATACAATCTCAGCCATGGACTGGCGTACTTTAAGTTTTGGAGATAAACCCTTGACTTGCAAACCCTTGTGGATGGACAAAATTCATTTCGCACCACCTAAGAAACCCTGGAACGATGATTCTCTTGTAAATACCAACAAGCAATGGTTTCCCATGGGTTGTCGGTGGTGCGAACGGTTTTTGTTCACCCTCAGCAGCTCTTTTCTCCCAGTTTACGTCGGTCACGAGTCGATGACCCTCCCCATGGCAACCCAGTCTTTCTCGCCTTTGGCGGCGGGCGCTGCACGCCTGAGGCACGCTTAGCTCGCGGAAATTGTTCAGCAGGGGCAAAAAGAACACGCAGTCTAACTTCTTGAAGGGTTCACTCGAAACATGCATGTTTTTCAAAATTGGGCCATTTTGTGAGGTGTTTTCCAAAATGGGCCCAACTCGGAGAATGGGTCCCAAGTTTGAGAAACACACATGCTTCATTGAAATCCAAAGCTGCCCAAAGAACTTGTGTCGCATTGGCTTCGAGCGGCCGCGCGCCCGCCGCATGCCCAAGTCGTCGCCGTAGCCGCCCAAGCCGCCCATGCCGCCGCCCATGCCGCCTAGCCCGAGTGGGTCATCCATGTCCAGCCTTGGCCACAGGCTCAAAAACACACGATGCTGACACGGGAAACCTAAAGGCTCAAACATGCTCACGGAATTAAATTAAGGAAGGGCAGTTTTGTTGCTTGGGCCGTGGCCCTTTCACCCGTGGAGTAGGACTATCAACGCGTGTGAGGCTTTTGCCCAGAATAGAATTGACAAGTCCCGGTTAATCTTTTCCACGTGCAATCCGCCAAGGATTGGCAGGAAACCTCCCGCTGCGTGTCACGCCAACGGGGCTCGGGTGAAGTGGACACCTCGCTGGCAGCGTGTAATTCAACATGGGCATTTCCTAGAGACCCTTCAAAGTTCATGTTTGTTCGCAAAATGTGTGTTTCTCCTTTAGGGCCCGGTTCCACCCAAAAAAAAGCTGGAGGTGGGTTAAACACTATTCAGGATCCCCACATCGGGACGCTGTGGCCAAAATGTCTGGCCCAGGCACATGTCGCAGCGCACGTGGGGCTTCGCCGCACCAGTCAGCAGCCGGATGGCCGCCAGCCAGCGCATGAAGGCGCATGAGCCCAAAGCTGCTGAGCGAATGCTCTAAAGTCCACTTATATGGGTGTTTCTTCTTTTCTGGCTTCGACCACCCAAAACGGCTTCAGTTTTCTTTGGTGTCCTGCAAAAAACCCCTCCCAGAAAAGGAGTACCATCAACAACAAGACGCAACCACACATTTTAGTATGGGCCCAACAAGGGTGTGAAAGTCCTGTTGGTATTAGTCAAAGTGCTATTAGTTCCATAAGTGTTGATCATAGCTCAAGCAGTTTGACCCTGAGGTGGGTCTACACGCAGCATTCCACCCAAATTTGGGACTCCTGCTCCCAAAGGGCCAAAGAGGGCTATCATTTGGGTGCGTCTTTTTGAAGGTTGGACCCCCAAATAGCTTCGGTTGTCTTTCAGGTGTCCCTTTAAAGGGGTACCCTCAGAAAACTACACATCTTGGCACTGGGAGACACCTGCCATGGGCCAATCCGGCGCGGACCCCCATCCCATGAGCATCGCGCGCCTCGGTGAGGGTTCCGGTGATCGTCCGCGTGAGCCGCAAGCCCTTGATGCCGGACTCGGACACGTGGCACTCCCTCAGTGCGGCGGCGCTATGCCGGAGTTCCTGTGGATTCCCTAACTAACCCCAAAAAGGTCATCTTCCATTTGCTTGAGTTGCCTGGAAACAAACATATTTCCAGTAGTGATAGATTCCCTTAAAGACCAGCAGGGGCAAATAACAACCTATTCTTCTGGAAGAAAGTATAATTCACACGCTACCCACAGCTCCACAAAGCATCGTGCTCCTTTAAAAAAAGGCTTTTCACACCAGTCCAAACGCTAGGCATTAAGCATGAATGGCTCGTAACACACGCGCCGTTTAGCTCGCTGCGGCAGCGCGCTTTTTGACCCAGGCCCATCTGACCACACTGCTCGATGTTGGCGTTCTACCTTGGCTGCATCCACATGTTGGTTGCGACCAGTTTAAATTTTCCGAGGGCATGGAGCAAAGGGCTCACCAGACCGAAGCTTCTGAGATATGCAATCGTCACGACATAGCTCCTATCAATCCGGCAAGCGCTGGCCTGCCCTTCCCACACCGCAAATGAAACATGTGCTGGCCTTCATGGGAAGCAAGCTGAGAAGCAGTGGTGCTAAAGAGTTCAACAGATTTCAACTCAAAGTTTCACACACACACACACGCACACACAGAAACAACAGCGACTTTCGCAATCAAGCAAGCTAGCAACAAATGAAAAACAAAAATACATTAACGTACACACAACCCTTCACTTAAACACGCCTTCTTTGAGCACTGTATGCGTATATATCTATCTATCAACATACTGTATGGTTTCACTGATGCCTGCGCACAAGCGTTGGACGCACTGATGTCTGCTTTCCTGTCCGCCTCAACCAAGACCCCAAGAAAACAAACACTACACCACACTGCAGGCATGGCAACCAGGTGCATCCGTTGGCCAAAGTTCTCGAAGCTGCTCCGGTCATCTGGCACCTCGCTACTCGCTCGCCGAATGAATGAAGTGAACGCATTTGTTCCACTCACAGGCAGGACGCCGTGTAATGTGGAATGTGGAGCAGACATTTATTTAATTTAACGCCGCTTGACGCGTCACGGCACCAGGATAACATCTCCAAAAGAAAGAACCCCAGATCAATCAACTGTGCCTCGGAAAAAAACAGGGGATCACTGATCCCCTGACACGCCGAATTCCTTTGATTCGACCGAATCCCGCACAGTGGGACCCAAGGTCCGCACACTCCGCATCTTTGCACGAAGCGAACCGCGCATGCACCTGCGGTTTGACAATTCGATTTCCTGCGATTCCGATCCATCCGTTTGAAAGTAATCCTGGTCATAATGGGTGGGGTCAAAAAAAACCGCCTATGGTCTTCACTTGCACCCATTCTTTGAGCTCGTTTCAACAGTATAGCTTCCCCGGCTTCCCCTTGCGACTTCCCGCTTTCACCATGCCTTGAACGATCCAATATCCCCTCTTTCCGGTTTCAAAAGGCAGCTTCCACCCTGGTGCCACACGTTGGCGCACAAAATCCAGGACCCTTCCCAGTTAACCAACTCGCGGCCGGCTCCCACGAGTGGCGATGGCCCCGACGGCCCGATGGCCTTGGCGAAGGTCACGGCGGAGGTGTCCCCGGCGGAACCTTCCGCCAGGCACTTGGAGGCCAGCTGGCACCTCTCTCTGTGAAGCAAGGCGTTTGGCTGGGTGACATGGGTAAAAACCAAAACAGGTTGAACTTGTTTGCTGGCTTAAGTGTGTGCAAACGATGGAACACCAGCAAGGTGCTCAAAAAGTACTTGGTCTGGCAAAGGCACCAGCCGTTGGCGGGATAGAGCGTGGCGAAGGCGCAGTTGTGGGCCCTGACTGAGCCGAGCGGCGCGGGTGGGTGTGAAGCCCCTGATTGTGAAGTGGAGCCGGAGAAAAAAAAAGCGAGCGGAGGCCCCTGAGGTTGGGTATTGCGATGGTTTTCCCAAAGGAAACTAACCAACAAAGGAAACCAACCAGCTTTTTTTGTCTCGCCCTAAGGCTCTTTATTATGTGCATTGGAAGGGTCGGGATGTGCATTGAAAGGGTCCGGCCTAAATATCCTGCTGACGACGTTCCGGGGCTCTGGCAGTTCACAGTTCGACGCCCCGGGGGCCCAGACCCGTTTTGAGCGCACGCGACAAGGTCTGAAACCCAACTGGCCACTGGCCGCAACGACACCCCTGCGCAGAACAAAATTATGCTTTTCAGATAGTTCTAAAAAAGGCCAGGCGCTATGGGTGAAGGCTGGGCGGCTTGAGTCCACAGTGTTATCGCTAACGCGTTACCTGTTGTTTTGGATGTACTTGTGGGCTGGTGATGTGTCTTCACTTGTTTGGTATTTCGTAGCTTCTTGGCAGGAGTCCCGTGCTATCCCGTGTTTGCCAAAAGGTTGCTGACCTTGATTGTTTGTGTGTGTGTCTGACAGGCCCATGAGCCATGCAAAATTCCTTTGGTTACGCGCTATCGCTGCTATTGGCTTGCAATGGCGTCCAGTCACAGTTTGTATTTATGGGGAGTTGAGTGCCGATTAAATTAGAACGGCGCGCGTCAAGTTCTGGCGTCGGAAACACGTCGGGAAGCTAACGCTTGGGCCCTCAAAACTGGGCAAACGTTTGCCGAGGGCCCGCGAGGGCCCGAGCGTCGGAAAGCCGTCGGAAACGTCGGGAAGCCGTCGGAAATATCAGGAAGCCGTTGGAAACGTTGGGAAGCCGTCGGAAACGAAACGCCGGGAAGCCGTCGGAAATATCAGGAAGCCGTCGGAAACGTCGGGAAGCCGTCGGAAACGTCGGGAAGCCGTCGGAAACGTCGGGAAGCCGTCGGAAACGTCGGGAAGACGTCGGGAAGCCGTCGGAAACGTCGGGAAGCCGTCAGAAACGTCGGGAAGCCGCCGGGAAGCCGTCGGACAGTTTTCAGAAACCGCGGAATGCCAGCATGAGTGAGAATGCCGTCGGAAAGCAGATGATCTGTGTTTGCTAGGAAATACTTGGGCTTACCGATTTGTCCGTGGCAACTGAATCTTGTTTTTGCCGGCCAGGACGGTGTGCGGGCCAATAACAGTCAAAGCGATTGTTTTTGAATGATCGATAGTGGTTGCAGACCCCGAGCAGCCGGGGCCCTTGCTACGCGGGGTCGTGTTTCTATGGCCCTCGCCATTCTGTCCCTGAGGGCCCAATGCCAAACGACGCCCCGAAAAGAGTTGGGATCCTTAGGGTGAGACAAACCTGCCGGCCGCCGCGGGTAGGCTTCGACTGACCATGGGTATTGGGAATCGCGGCAACAAAAGAAATCGTTTCAAGGGACCTACCGTGGTTTCAACCAAAATAGAATGAACAAATCCACTGTTTGCAGCACGTGATTTTTATACGGTCAAATGAGTACACAAAGCAAGGAAAACTCGAACTCTCCACTTACCACTCAAGAAGGGGGAGTCTTGCCTGATTGGCCGAACGCGGCAGGCGGCAAAGTAAGAGGTGTTGCCCCTTGTGAATTCACAACCTCGTGTACAAAGTGAGTGCGCCATCGACCAGGTGCTGGCAAATCTAAGGTTCCTCCCACCATACCTCGTACTACTTTTGGGATCATTTTGGGACCAACTGGGCGACTGGAAATCATCGTGTTGGGACCGTTTCCTTTTGCCTCGGCTTTGCACAGGCCACCTGTTGTTTTTTTTGAAGCAAGAGCAATGCGTGGGACATCTTGGGACTAAGGATTGGGAGTCCGGATCTCAAACTTCCTTTCTGGACACAACTTTGTTGCCTTTTCGAATTGTCTCAATTTGTGTTTCCTTTTGCTAAGCAACGACGTAGAAATAAATTCCAATAATGATAGGCTCCCTTTAAAACCAACAGAGGACTCTAAAAAAAAACATTTGCCTAAATCTCGAGATATGTTTTTTGGGTGAAGTCGCCTAAAACTGCTAAAACTCCGATATTTTCGTGATTCGGCACGTGAGATTCTGAATTGGTCCCGTTTAACGCTTTCCCCGCCCAGAACTACCATCAAAATGCCCGCAAAAAGCCCGCAAACGCCGCAAAACTCGCAAATCAGGAAAAGGAGATCGTACTTTTTGCCAACACTCCCAGAAGTCACTTAGAACACCCAACATGCCCAGAAAACCGAAACGCTAGGCATATTCATTTGAGCCGGCCATTTGTTTCACCGTCCCCCAATCCAGGGTAATAAAATGCCTGGTGCATCTGCTGATGCACTCATCCGGCTCAAAGAGCCCTTCCAGCAAGAAGGGCACCTGACCGCCAGCGGTTCAACCGCTTGAGCCATGAGCAAAAAAACACATCAATTGGTTGGCGAGTAGTTGAAAACACGACACGTTTAAAGATCCAAAATGATCCAAGCAAATAGCAGGCGGCCTTCTTAGTTGTCAGCTAGTGCACCCCCAACTGGCTGAACTAGAAAAAAACAGGGCACTTGCTTGGGTTCTCAGGTGAACTTTGGCTTCGGCCATCTGAATCTAGCTGTTTGTGAGACTCGCCTAGAATCATGACACATCCCAGCACATGGGCGCCTTGCCCGGATTGTTGCAGAACTTGCCGCTGGAGTACTGCAAATAATCCTTGCAAGCCAAACACCCCAATCCAAGCAGGGGTATCAGAATGACTCGGCTCACCTTTTGCTTTAGCCAGATGGCCCCCAGAGTTGCCTCCCAAACCAAGCCCAACTGGCACAACCATGCCTTTTGGCACCAAGGAATACGTACTATTGAAGAGGTGTAGAACTCCTCCTTCAGGGTGTCCCTGCACTTCCCTCAAGATCCTCCGTAATGAAAGTCCAAAGGCAAACACTGCAGTTGCGCAGCCCGAGGCGAAAGCGTCGAATCCGAGAGCCCTGCGATGTTGGCCTCATCCGCAAAAAGCCTCACGGCGGCTGCGGTCGCGCGTTGATGGCCAATTCTTTTCTTTAAGCAAATCTAACTTGTGACTGTGCAGGCCCCGCCACATCCCTGAACAAAACAGCCAGAGCCACAGAATACTGCAGCCAATGTTCCATCACACCCTCTACCAAGAGAAACCTGACCAACCACACACAAATGCCAGCCCCTCGGAACATCGCACACTGCCCACTCGTCCTAAGGTCCTACAAGGCGCGCCTGGAGGCTTCCCATCCCATCTCCAATGGCAGGCCGATGTTCCCTCCTGGCGGGCCGGATCTCAGGGACTGGATCCGGTCCTTCTAAACGTGGCCATCTTAAGGGGGAAGAACCTGATGCAAGCTTGATGTGTGTGTGTGTGATTGAATTTAAATTAATCGAGCGATAGAGCGTAAGCGTTCATGGGTACATCTCAAGAACTGGTGTAGCTTTCTTTATCTAGGATTTATGCTTGAAGATTCTCAAAGCCTTGTGGAGCTGTTGCTTTGGGGTTCCCCAACACTTGCTGCAACAACGGAAGCAAAATTGCGGAACGGTTGAGCCCTCCGCAAAAAAAGGTTTGGACCTGAACCTAGGCATTCTGATGAAGCGCCAGTAGCTGCCCAGAAGGTCAACAGGTATAGAACAACCACAAGCTAGGCTGAGGCGGACCTACTTCTGCCTCCCAGTTGCGCCCGGCAGGACACTTCACCCGCGCCTGCCGCGGTACGGCTGTTGCGGTACGTCATCTTCTTGGAAGGGTGCACGTTCCTGTGGCTGGGACTGCGGAGAAGCCCACAAATAAGCTCGGTCTCAGCACCCACGCGCTCAAAACCACCCCTAGGTCAACCACAACCCCATGGGCAACAAAGTCGCGGGTAGCGATTGGCAAATGATTAGAGGTGACACAAACAAATGCCCAAAACCATTCCCGTCCCTGACCACGGACAAGGATAGGCAATACTTTGGTTTAAAAAAAACTGGGATAGTAGCAAGAAATCCCCTGGAAGAGAAAACCCTGGAACACGCTAGACCTACGGCCAATACGGCACTGTCTCCCACCTGGATAGGGTCAGACCAAATCGTGGTATGAGAGATGTCCTGGTAATTGTGCGGCACATTTCTTTGATGTGTAGCCCATTGGCTGCAAAGATGACTTTGGTGGGTCGTCCATGTTGGGCCTTGCCCCGATAGCCTTAAATTCAATTCGGAGCACCGCTGAGATGCTGGAAGCTATAGCCACTAACGCTCTCGACTTCATCATATGCTCTGGTTGGCTTGCTCTCAGTCACTGAGCCTAGGCGGCTTTCCCAGCATGTGTCTCAGTGTTGACATATGCGTCGACTCTAGGACACAAAGCAGCTTGGGCCGGGATGATTAACGCTTGAACTGAACGCTTCGCAAGCGGCAGCACCAAGCAATACTAAAACAATTAATACAATCCTAATCCAGCTAAAAAGCCAATACTAAACGAGTACTACCCAGTAGCACTAAGGAATGCTTAGACAAAACTGTATCCATTCTAAACAGGACTGGACCAGTACAGTGCTCTATTGACCCACGGGCCCGTACTCGTTCACGAGTTTTCACGGGATTGATTGCGCACCAGGACATCATGCGTGTGTAGGGAACGTCAAAAACTGGGCACCCTGTTTTGAAGCTTTGCTTGAAGGGTCTAACATGAAGACCACCGATCGAAGGTGTCCAGTGTCATGACCTTGTCTCAAATGCAACATGTATCATATGGCGTGTCTTCTTTTGAGGGTACCCTTTTTGGTTGGTGCCAAAAGGAAAGCCAAAAGGAAAACCACAATTTTGGAGGTCCAACCTTTAGAAAGCAACTAAAAAAAAGAAAAGAAAAACAAACGGATAAGCCAGCGGCCGGCGCATAACCTGTGGCGCCAAGTCTCGCAGGATCCACGGGCAAGTAGCGACCTCCGCTTGCCCCCGAAATCAGGAAAAGGCATTGGGTCGCGGATACGCGCGAGATTTCGTTTCCCAATTCTGATTTCTGTATATTCGAGCATCTTGATTTCAAATCATAGTCTATGTTGCCTGTAACAAATAATATACATTGTTTGTATATTCCAAATTGTCTAATGGTGTTTTTTTGCAGAATGTTATAATGCATTGGCTTGCTTACGGGTGGGCGAGATTTGGTTTCCCAACTTTGTTTCTTCATTTGTGTATTCCATTTTGTGTTATTAATTATATTTTTTCCCAGGCGAAATGCACATTTAATTGATCGATTTTTGAGGGGAATAACCTATGATAATGATGTATTTTCTTAATTCATGATTCCTAAAAACACAAATATATGTTTTTAAAACTTTGCAAAACGATTTTAAACATGTTCTAGGGAAGCATTTTCCCTTGAACAATAAATATTTGTTGGGTGAATATGCTATTTGATGAATAAAACATATTTATTGCCAACGCTGTAAGGGATTCTTTTTATTTTTGTTTGATGGAAGCGATGCTGGGGATATTGGACTTGCAAGGGATTTAACCACAAAACCCAAAGGAACAGACCCAATCTTTTCATCACATCCTTCAAGGATTGCAAAAAAACAAACCTTTTTGCAGAATTCAAACCCCACCCTTGGACAAGACAAATTCATGGCAACAAGATAATCCTGATATTGGGGATGCAGGTCCTGTGTGCTCATCACTGCCAAAAAAACAAAATACATAATTTTGGCGACATTATTTCCCATTGTGGTCGTCCTGTAAAGCCAACGGCAAATGAGTACCCTCAAACAAGACGCACGAATTTGGACTGGAAGATTCCAGCATAGTCCAGCCAGGACTTCCCTCTAATCCCAGTTCTTTTATGTTCGTGGAGAATGGAAGGTCCTAGTCGGCCACTGATCTGTGGAAGCCAATTGCAGGTCGATTCATCCAGGGTTTACGTTAGGCAGAGATCCTTGAAACATCTGGTGCTAAGATGTTCCCATCCGCCCACATTGTGGCGCCGCTTGTGCTGTTCCCCCCCCCCCCCCGAAAACCGCCAAGGTGCCCTCCACACGCCAGGCGTGGCGCCACTCCGTTCCGGAGGCCAACCGCAAAAGCAGCGCCAGCGGCAGCAGGGACATTGCCAGGGCGCGCTTCGCGTGCGGCGTCGCGTGCGGCGTGAGATGTCGTGGACGCTTGGGAAACCAAAGGCAACCCCACCGAAATGGTAAACGGTTCCAGTTGTTTGTTCAAACCACCACAAAAACGAACAGGTTTTAGTGGTTCAGGTTTCCTAGTGTTCTAAGAAGCATCCCGAGAACCTGGTCCTGTCTCTCCTGAAAGGCTCGTAAGAAAAACTTCCCTGATCTTCGGAAGTGTATATGGAGCGCAGTCAAGTCAGCATCTCAAAGAAGCGGTAGCCTGGGAGGAGGGAGAATCATAATTGTTTTTTCTTTTTAAAATATATATATATATATAAATCAAAAAATGTTGGTCCTCTAACACAATACGAACCACATGCTTAATGAGAAAATGATAGAAAATAAAATCGCACATATTCACATGCACATACACCAACTAAAACATCACGACACCTGGCCTTGGATAATCTTGGATATATGTTCACCGCAGGTCATTGCAATGAAGCAGTTGGGAGAGATGCTGGCTCAAGGGCAATGGATTCAAGATATCCTGAATCTCGCCCAAGCCCACTGGATTTTAAATGTTGTTTGGTAGAAATGGACACGGCCTGAATTTTGTCTCAACTGTACGAGCCAAGAACTCGTTATTGCATGGCAGCTCATCGGTCTGCGCAGGGCTGTTGCAAGAGGCAAAGCGTGGTACACGTCCCCAACAAAAAAAAAAAAAACAACAACACCACTCCACCGGGGCATGCTGGACAAAGCCCCCCCCCGCCACACATCGAAAGTGGCAAGCATGCTTCGATGCTTCAACCTCTGGTTCGCGCCTTCCAGTTTTCCGGTTGGACGGTGGTGCTTGGAAAATTATAATTACCAATCAAAGGCTCAAAGGGAGGTATATGTCAGACACAACGGATCACATCAACACGCACCACTTGACTTCAGCGTAGCCGTAGCCGTAGCCCTGTCTCTGGGAGCTACTGCCATCTGCAAGCCTTTTCTCTTGCTGGCGCCAGTTGGCCTGTACCTGCATCTGTACTGGGCGATTGCTTTACATTGGGAAGAGCCGGGCAAGCCACGCTCCCAATCTGCCCGCGCGTACACGGGCTTTTCTACAGCAAGTGCTGGTGACCAAGGCTAAAATTCACCAAAGCCCTTGGCTTCCATTGCAGAAGCCTACCGGGAAAAATGAACCTTGTCCATAGATTTCCTTCAAAACCAAGTGGAAATTAAAAGATATTCTCAAGCAAATGGAAGCAAGTGCGGGTGAAGGCAAAACTTCGCCACGACGCTCTCGACGCTCTTGCGGCCAAGGCTCCCCTCGCCTCACAGTTCTTGGCGCGCGCAATGGCGGCACTTTTGCTCCACAAGGATCTCGTGATACTCATCGGGCCCGATGTTCCTTGCTCCGGGCATTCCAAAACCAAGGTCTTGCTTCCTGAACTGCCTTAACTGGGCTGCGCGTTTTCAGATCCCCTGCAGGAGAACAACTTTCAGTGGGACAAATATGGAAACCCAACCACTAAACCAGCTGCAAAGATTCAAATCGCTAGGGAACTGGATGGCTGGGAGCCACCAAGCTAGTGAGATGGCGAAACAAGCACCTGCACGCTTTTCAGCAACCACCAAACTGGTCCTCCCAAGTTTGAAGTGCAGGAGCTCAAGTGGGCAATGGGAGACCTCATGCATGGATGATGGACCCATGTGGATGGACTATCAAACCATAGAAGCCGATTGCCAGGCCACGAAAGGTAGGCGCAAGCCAAGCGCAAGCGGCACATTGGGAAATGGGCCGTCGAAAACAAACAACAAAAAACTCGGAAACGGGTTGGACATATTGGAAGGTTGTCAACAACATCATTGCGAGCGGCTGTGTGTTGGTAGACTTGCATCGTAACACCCGCACCCACCACAGAACACGGAACACACCCTATGAGAACATTAGTACAACGTCTTCAGACAAAAACGGAATGATTGATCCCCAAACCCCACACAAATCCCCAGCATAATTTTCAACACCTCAGCCTCACCAGAAGCTTTGGTCTGGGCTGAGCTTCGGGTTGGCGAAGGTTTGTGAAGGGCTCTGGCGCTCTTACATCTTTTCTGCAAGGCACTCCTTTTTCTACAGAAAAGCCGCGCTCCAGACCCGCCGAGCGGTCCAAGCAGAGGGTGACCGCTATAGAACCTGTAGGCTTACGCTGGAATTGGGGTGGCCTGAGGCTGATGAACAATCCAGTTATGTGCAAATGCAGGAGAAAAAAGAAAACTCACTTCAACCTCACCTTTTGGAAGGTGTGGTGAGGGAGCCTTTTGCAGGACTTGCAGGACCCACGGTCCCTTTTTCCCGCTCGCCGCGGCGCACGGCCGCGTGGATGCGGGGCACCTTCGGCATGTGGCCCGCGGTGGGCTCCAAGAAGTCCCCGGCCACACGGAAGCCCATGGTGCCCTCCGCCCGGAACTCGAAGAGCCACTCCCCTGCAACTCGAAGACCCGTTTTTGGGCGGGGGGGTTTAAGGGAAACCAAAAAAAAAAAGAAAGAAAAAGGAGAAATCCTGAGAGGTGGACCGTTCTGTGTTGCCTGTTCTGTGCACACACAAACACACACACACACAACAAACAAACAAACACACTTGACGAAATGTCATTGCATTTCGAGGGCCCCTGACCCCTGCCCCGTTTCTCCGGTTGTTCGTTGCCTTTGGCGTCGTAGACCGCCAGCTGCGCGGGGTTCAGCGCCACGAAGTGGTAGTCCAGGTCGTGGCTGGCGGAACCGATTCCCGCTTCGTTGCCCTCCCACCCCCGAAAGGCCCCCCTCCCCCCAATGGCAACAGGGGCGATGTTAGCGACCCGGAGGTTTTTTGGGCGATGTTAGCGACTAATAAGGCGATTGGGGGAACTGAGGTCAATTTTTAGGGGCCAATAGCGGCCTTGTTGGGAAAATCCTCTTACACTCTTTGGAAGAATTATGGGAGACACAAAATCTCCCCGGATTCCCGAAAAAGGATGAAAATGGTTCTTGGAAACCATGACATGGGGACGTAGGTGGCATACCCTCCCATCGACTATGTTCAACCTCAGTGGGCAGAAGGGTCAATCATCCCCTTAGCCACGGAAGAGCCAGAGGGGAGCCGGAGATAATCCGGCCCTTTCTACGTGCCAGTCACTATGAGCTTGGCTATGGCTCTGAATGAGTATTTGGGGCCTGTCTCAAAATGGGGGAACCCTGAGAATGGATGGTTTCCTTGTGGTTTCACTCTTAAACCATCCAAAATTGGTACTGAGTCTTGCTGAGGGGTGGTCCAGATTGAGCCCAAAAAAAGGACAGACAGCTGACACTCAACTACTCAGTCATCCGCCAAACATGCAAAGGGGTAAAACTGCCTGCGGGTTTTAAACAGAAACTGTGTCCGTTCAATCTACAAGCTGAATAGGGTGCCTGTTTGGTCACAGCTGGCCCTCCTTTATTTAGAGGAATACCTATTTGTTCTACCATGATATTGTACTTAGGCGTTGCCTATTTATAATAGTTCTATCCAATCAATCATATTTGTCTATTCATGCTCGAGGTCATCGTCTTAAGGAAGTGGAAGTGAAGTTCTGGACCAATCGATAACACAGCGATCAACTCCAAGCTCGCTGGCAGGGGTCACTGGACTTCCCCTTCAAAGTTCGCAATTTACTGTCATTCAAAGGGGAAGTGTCTCGCCCCAAACTCACTGCCGGATAGTAAAAAGCTGCCTGTGCAAGGAGGTCATGCCACCCGGCGGCAGCGTGAAGTTCCAAACGCGCACAAGGTCGTCCTCGAAAATGACCTGTCGGCCAATCGAAAGCCGATCGAAGCCGATCGAAGCCTCGAGGTTTCCAGGATTGCTGGTGCCGCGGGCCGGGCAGCTTTGGATCGGGAAGGAGAGAATGGGGCCAAATGGCCAAATATGCTTCAGGGCCTCTGGGCCTTGGGCCCGTTGGAAGAAAACGATGTCCATGAATCTCCTACTGCAACCGCGACAATCTACCCGTCCACATCCAAAAGACGCTTTTTCTGGAACAGCTGCAAGGTCTCCGCCCAAATGACTTGTCATGCACATGCATGTGTACAGCGAGATCCTTTGTATGGATGGCACTGTGATGATCAGTTGCCAGTTCCCCAAGTGCTTTCGGGGAGTGTGTCGGGTTGGCAAGGCTGTTCCCAAGCAGAGGCACAGGGCCCTCGGCGGGCTTATGCCACATGATCCTACATGCCCCGTTAAAGCTCACACTTCTTACTTCAAACGCGGTTCGGAGGGCCCTTCGAACACCCAGTCATGCAGCAAGGTGTGAAGTCATCTCTGCCAGATCATTTGGAGGTTTATGCGGGATCTACCACACTGCCACTTCACCCAAGGTAGTAGAACCACCGATGGGCTGTTCAACGAGGAACGTTGGCCAATCCGAATACATAATCCCCATAGGGTGGTGGTCCGCGGGTCGGCTGCCTTGTGGAGGGTGCAGCCTCCCTCAAATTGCAGCTGAGAGGTTTCTCAAATAGGAATCCCCGTGCTTGGTTTCCTCAAAGGGCGTCACCGTTCCAACGCGGGGTCAAACAGCAATGCACCATGAGAAACGCTCGTCTGAATTCATCCCATCCCATCCCGTCACTCTCAGCTCCAGCCCTCCCAACCCCCCACCCCCCCAACCCCGCCTCCGTGCCCACAAAGCCGTCCACCTCGCACGCCTTCCCCGGCGCGCAGGGCGCCGAGCTACCCAGCTGCGCTGTGGGCACCGCGAAGACGCCCGGCGCCAAAAAGGCGAAGGCGAAGGCCAGCGCGGCGTTTGCTGCGGCCATCGGGTAGATAAGACTGGCTGAATGAAACTTGCAGTTGGCAAGATTTATCGGGCAGGCCATCCGCAGCACTCAGCTTTGAGATGTTGGCTAGGTCAGTGACAATCTGCCAGCAAGACAGCTCCCCCACGTTCTCGTGCGATACGCTCTATTTTACGCTCGGTTTCCAAAGGGTGGCTCTTCCCAGGGAAGTCGCACCAAGCACGATGTATTCCTTAGAAGTCCTTACAGGCATAGGGTAGCCCACTTCCCTCCCTAGACTAAAAGACAGCTTTCCAGCCCACCTGAAGGAGAAAAGGCGTTCAATTGGAAAGAGAAAAGCAGGTGCTGTGGCAGTCGGGCCATCCACCTGAGGCCCTGACAAAAGCTTCCGCGATGCCCGGATGTCATCACCTATAGCGAGAAGAAATATCGCTGTAAGTACTAAACCGAGCTTCTGACCAGGAACGAGGCCTGCACAAACAGCGACTGTGCTTACATCCGCGACTCTGAATCTAACTCGGGCACCTGGACGAGCAATACGCTTGCAGCCTTTGCACCTCTACTTGCAAAGCAAGCCAATAGCGGAGCGAACAACCTACAGGCAGCAAATATGCAAAAGACCCCTCCGCAAAATCCAACCAACCAGCCAGCAAGCCAGCCAGCCAAACAATGCAAACAATGAAAACAAACCAACAAACCAACCCGCCAACCAACCAACCAACCAACAAACAAGCAACGAACGCCGCAAAGGCACTGCCAGCGCCAGTTCCGCTGGCACAACACATCAACGATATCGGCGACGAAGACAACCAAAACGAAGACAAAGTGCAAGCCAAGTGATTGAGCCGGCCGTGCCCAACAATGGGCCTGATGCTCAGTTTCTTGACTCCATATGACTCTTCTCTCAATCAAGTGCGGCTCCCTGTACGGATCTTGCGACGAAGCAAGTTCTGGGCGACACCTTACTAGTGCCGTGACGGGAGCGTACGTGACCGTGGACGTGACCGTGGACGTGACCGTGGAACACACAAAAACCAAGTCCGAGACTTCTAGGCCAGTGGTGAAACAGTGCCAGAGCAGCAAAGAGCATATGAAGCACACCAACAGCCGAGGACGTCAACAAAAGGAAAGGAACAAGATGCATAAGTCGTCCCAAAGAAGTCACAGTCGGTACTACCATGATCCAACTTGAACACCCCCGACATCACACTCACATGTCGCACACAGACACACACTTATCACGTCACATCAAGGCAAACATGCCAGCAAACCCGTCCAAAGACAAACATACAGAGAGAGAGAGAGAGAGAAGAAAAAAAACAGAGAGCGAGAGAGAGAGACACAGAGAGAAAGGGAGAGACAGGGACACATGCAGACACACAAAGAGGAACAAAGAGACCCCGCACGCACAAACAAAGAGACACACGCAGACGGAGACAGGCAGAGACACAAAGAGACAGAATCACGGAGCAACACACACACACAGAAAACACACAGACACACAGAAACACAAACAAACACAAACATGAACACCCACGCGCACACACACACACACACTTACACACCGGAAATGGGGCCAAGAGTCTGTGCCCACTTTAAGGCTTTCCCAGATACTCTCACAGTTACGATCCGTAGGGGGGTCCCCCATGGTCCAACTCAAGGCCAATCAGTCAGAGCTTGCCTTTCGATTCGACCCTTGGGGGATTGTGGATAAAGGGGACCTATCAGCATCTCAATTGGTGATTTGGATTGGTGGTTTAGGGCTTCGGGCGTTGCTGGTTTAGCAACTGCAAGAACCAGAGCTTCAAATCCCAAACCACTAATGTGTGTGTGTGTGTTGAGATTTTAACCTGTATTTAGCGCACCCTAAAAAAGAAACATGATGCCTAAGTGGATCAGCAGGATACACTGCTCTGTGCCTGAGACCAACCGCCATTCTTTTAATGGGGTTGAACCCTAGGGTTGGGGTATGCTGAATGTGGACCAGGATCAAACAATTATGTTGACCGCCTTCTTGGAAGACCATGTTCATAGGGTTGACCCAAATCAGATGATGACAATCCTTAGGTAAGCAATTGCGGTTCTATTAACCCAACCATTCTTTTCATGGTGTGAGAGCTGAACCCCAGGGACTAAAGAGTTTAACTTTTAGTGGGTTAAATGGAAATCCGCACTGAACACTAGAAAGCTACAAACCTAAGGAACCGGACGGCTGGGAGCCGCCCAGAAACCCAAAAAACCTCAGAACGAGGCCCCAGGCCCACCCTTCGGCCCTGAGGTCTCGGACTACCCTCGGACTCAGCGATCTGCCGCTGCAACTCCTCCAGGCCCACCTCAGCCAAGCGAGCCGGCTGCTCGGCTTCGGGCATCGGGCGTGGAGCGAAGGGATGGCAGGCCGCTGAGGAAATGCATATACATATTATATATATATATATACACATATTTAATTTGCATATACAAACAGATTTGTGTCTTTCGTGCTTTTGCTCTCTCCAGCATCCAAACTATATGTGTTTATATGTTATAATATACACATGTGTGTATCTATAGGCATGCACATATGTATATATATATATACGTGTGTGTGTGTGTGCATCACAGAAAGGGTGACGTTCCTTCTGGTTTCCCTTTGCGGCCGGGGTAGCCAAAGGGAAAGCCGAAGCCATTTTGGATTTTGCGCCCCCCATTTAAACACACACCCTGAAGTTTCTTCTGGAAACCTTTCCGGGTTCTAGAATCCCTTCAAAAGCAGATCAACCAAGTTCATGGCTGAGCTTGTTCACCATTGGGAGTCTGCTGGAGGGCACACAATTGGGCGTCTTGAATCGGGGTTGTCGAAGTAGGGTGCCAAATTGGGATTGAGTGTATGGGGCGAATATTCGCAAACTCTGAATGACTTTCAAGCAATTTTGGCCGACAGGAGGCCGGGAAAAGGGACCGTCTCTGATTAGGAGGGTGATTGTACCCTCAGCGCCTCAAAGCCGCAAGGACGATTCCACCCGAGGATCCATTAAATCGGCATCCTCAAAATTACACTCCAAATTGCTCAAAAAGAAACTGAGAGCCCCTCAAAATGTTCACTTTAAGGGACTTCTCGGTGACTCAGGGAACCATGGCCATTGGTCAAAGGAGCCATGACCATTGGCCGAAATTCCGGGCGCTGGACTGTATCATCCCTGGCGACTTGGTACACGAAGAAGCCTAGTATGGACGGCTTTCTCATCCAGTCGCAAAACAAGCTTCCGAGAAATGAGTATTTGCTATTCCTCTAAGAACCCTGGATCAACCAGCTGATCGGCACCTGACTCACCCGACCCGGTGGCTGCCTGCGGAATGCGCTGTAAGAAATTGGCTGCAAGTGCCAGTGACGATTGCCTTTGCGCAGGGCTTTACCCGGGCATGGACCAGAATGGACCCCCCAATGGACCCTTCCCTCCGCTGTACAAAATCCAAACTCCTCGCCCAGAAGTCACCTGCAAGCTCCTCACCCAGAACGTCGCCGTACCTGCTCACGAAAAATGGTGCACTGGAACTCCTGTATGACTGCTTTGTGACTTTGAAGGGGGGGTCCTTGGAACAGGAAATGGGCCAAGGCCTCAAGTTTCCACAAGTATTGACTCAGCTGCCCAGGAGCCCCAGAACAGAAGCTTAACCTTTGCGGGTCATGACTAAAAATCGACCAACGGAAACTAAAAGGTCAAGAAGTCAAATCGGCTTTCGCCACGTGAGCCAATGGTTTTGCTCCACGGGCACCTTAGACGATTGCCTGCCAATGTTACCACAAGAAAGCGGCGCGATACCAAAAGTCCATACCCCGGTAAGTTTGCCTATTGCGCGGACGGTCTGGAACTCCAAAAGTGGCCCACGAACCCACGAAGCCCTAAAAAAATAAAAACCTACGGGGATGGCTGGGAACCACCAAGTCAACATGAGTTGCAGGGGAACATTGTGCAAAGGGCTTCACCCTCGATGCCCGGGGTCACTTTACAGCCAAGCCAGCCGCTCTGCCACACGCTCTGTAGGCCTCCTGAAACAAATCCCGGAGGAATTCGAGGCCATAGAGAGCAGTGAACCGGGGAAATGCAACTCGGGAAGCCACTCGGGTTGTATGCTCCTTGTCAAAACTGACAAAGACGCCGTCGTCACACAAGGATCGCAACAAGAAGCTAGGATCATTTTTATGGCACAGCCTCGTATACCTGTACAGTGAGCATGCTGGTGCTGAGTCTGCTTAGGTTGCCGGAGTCTTGCCACTGCTTGTAACTTCGCGTCTGTTTTGTGATAATTTTCATCTTTGGGAACATGACTCCAACCACTTTGTGACAAAACCAGCCACAGCAGTGCAACAGCAGTGCAACAGCAGTGCAACAGCAGTGCAACAGCAGTGCAACAGCAGTGCAACAGCAGTGCAACAGCAGTGCAACAGCAGTGCAACAGCAGTGCAACAGCAGTGCAACAGCAGTGCAACAGCAGTGCAACAGCAGTGCAACAGCAGTGCAACAGCAGTGCAACAGCAGTGCAACAGCAGTGCAACAGCAGTGCAACAGCAGTGCAACAGCAGTGCAACAGCAGTGCAACAGCAGTGCAACAGCAGTGCAACAGCAGTGCAACAGGCAGTGCAACAGCAGTGCAACAGCAGTGCAACAGCAGTGCAACAGCAGTGCAACAGCAGTGCAACAGCAGTGCAACAGCAGTGCAACAGCAGTGCAACAGCAGTGCAACAGCAGTGCAACAGCAGTGCAACAGCAGTGCAACAGCAGTGCTGCAGCTGCCGCTCTCCACCTCTGAAACCAAACTCATCGGCGTGTGGAGAAGTTCCAAGCAGCGGGATCCTCTAGCTGGGTGGAAACCTACAGGAAGACCACAATTTTGGGGGAAGTCCCCTTATTTTGACATGGTGAAGGCAACCGTTTTTAGTGGCCCCCATGTTCCCTAGGGACCCAAATTAACCAGATCGCCCTCAGCCACTCCTCCACGTCGTCGAGGCCGGCCTCAGGGGCCCCGAAACGATCCCACCAGCAACCCCTTGGGGTCAAGGCAGGGTCACCGCAAATGACTCTGGCTTTGGAGCTGCAACATCACGAGAAGAGTGAGAGGGGGATCTCTCAGGCTGCTTGAAATCCCTTGCCTCTTCATTACATACGAGTCGGCAAGCCACGCGTCTCAGCCTAATTTGCTCTGTACTGAGCCCATCCGCTGATCAACGGCCTTTCCAGCTGCGCGTTGGGATGCCACACCGCAAAAGACAGTGCATGCTGGTTTGCGAGGCAGAAAAAAGAAGCAACTTGGCGCACAACACAACGCAGTGCCAAGCTAGAGCTTTATGGATAGAGCTGGGTGTGTCATTTTTGAGGTACTCTTTTGGGGGGTGGCCTCAAGTGGACACCAACAGGAAACCGGCAATTGAACACTTCCCCTATTTCAAGACACGCCCGGATAAGCTGAAGTTCGGCCAAGTACGTGCAGCGGGCTGGAGACTTTTCCACGGCTATTGAACAGAGACCTCTTCAAAAGGATGCCTTTGGCACTTTGGAAGAATTCAACTAGCCTGACCGAGGCCAAGGCGGCGCATGCACATGCAACAGAAGCCAAAAACAAGAAGCAAATGGCCACCTGAAGCATTTCTGGCACCTGAGATGGCGCAGGATGCCTATTGAATTCCAAAGGTGGTCCAACCAGAGTCCGGTCCGCACTGTTTGCAAGCCAGCGACTAGCAGAACACCCTTCGCGCCTAGAGAGATGTCTCTTGTTCGGGGGTCGCAAATGACCTCAGAATCTCGCCCCTTTTGGGCAGGCGCAATCTATGAAAATCATCTGGGCATGACTAGAAGTTAACCAGAATCAAAACCACCCAAGGGAATTCCAACAAAGAAACTGCATCCTGGTTGAGCTTTAGTTGCCCTCAAATGAGCTCGCTATACCTTGCTCAGAAATCGTGCACCCACTTCCCGAGTGGATTGGCCAAAGCAAGTTCAAGCTTTCATATTCCACCAGAACGGTCTTCCCAAAAAGTAAGTACAGTCCAGGAACTCAGGAAGCGAGTGAATCTTCCCTTGACATGGCTTGTGAGAATTTCCCCAGCCATCCGAAGATCCGAATTTCGTGCGCTCGCGTAAATGTAAACCATTTAAGGCTCACATTGACTTCCACGGGCTGGTGCAAGGTTGCTTAAGAACTTACGAGTACCGAAAATATGTTCAAACATTGGGGGTTTGGTACTTCGCAATTGTCTTTTTTTCGGCATCCATTTCTCTTTTCTTTTTGGAAGCCCTTCAAAGACCGCGCTTCGCGAGCTCACCTCCGCTTCAGCTCCTCCCCAAAGCGAAGAAGCAGGTCCTAGCCGGTTTGACACACGCTACCCACCTGAAATGGGCAAAGTGGACGAAAAAACCGCCCAGAGGAAATATGGGTGTGGCTCAAAGACTGGTTTTAGTCTTTGTTTCCACTTGCCCAGGTGCTATTTTATGTGCCATTTTTTGAGCCACAGCCATTTATGGGGACCCAGGTGTGACTGAAGCAATGCCTGGCGATTTCGCAACTTCCCTGCCTTCACCGCCTCTACGCCCTTCTGCCGGAAGGCGGTCAGCACCTTCGGGACCCGAAAACCGACTGCCGCTCTGCGCATTCAGGGAACGCTTAACTGGTGGTTGGGATTTTCCTGTAGAATGTTAAAATGGGAGCTACCCTTCACCATCAAACCACTAATCCAAACCACCAATGAGAGGGAAGCTGACGCTCTGCGAAAGCAAAACCAAGCCGCAAATCAAAGCCGCCTTTCTGTTGCAAAGCACTTCCGACCTTAAACAAAACCAACGCGGTTTTGGAGGACAAACTGATGCGTCGAGAGACGGCCCTGGCTGACGCCCTTGGCCCCGCCTGCCCAGGAGGGCCTGATGCCTCCACCGTGGGCCGAGTGCCGTCAAAGGTGGCCTCAAGCAAACGCAGACTCGCACCAAGCGTTCCCAAACATCGACAGTACTTGGGACTTGGGATTCTGTGCCTGTGGACAGCACTTGGGATACCCCATGTCCAAAATCCCCAAAAAAACCTTCCAGCACCTGGAGTCGGGGAATCCCAGTTGGACAAGAAACAAATGACCCGGGTCCAGAACCCCCAACACCTGTTGTGGACAGTACTTGGGACTTGGACATGGGAAAAAGTCGTTGGGGGGTGCTGGTTCGGTGCTGGGAAATCGGACACAATCGATGTTCACAGAAATCGATGTTTTCACCCCTCTTGGTAGCTCCTTAGCTCCCTCTATAAAAGCAAAGTTAGATGCCCTCAGCCCCTTGGCTGCCTTTCAGCCACCTTGTCATTTTCGGATTCACATTTAGTCCGCCCCAAAGAATCGCAGGTTTAGGATCTGAAAAGGTTCGGTGCGGGGCCACCTCTCAAACTCACTCCAGGAGGCTGTGAGGCTACCCTCCACATCCTTCCCCGGCATGCTGGCGCGCCAGCTGCAGTCCAGCGTTATGCAGGGCACCTCAACGCATCACGGCTGCCCATGGAAGCAGGTAATCTGTTCCCCCTAATGCTAAACGTCCCCCCCCCCCCTAATACTAAACGGGTCCCCCGGGGAAAACCGGTTTTAGTATTAGGTTCGTTTTCGGAAAGCCTTGGGAGACAAACAATGAAGTCGAGTGTTGTATTTTTGTGTGGAGAGAGAAAGAGAGAGAGAGGGAAGGAGACAGCCATGTTTCGAATTGCCAGCATGTTGCGCAAGTGTTTGACTCTCCGCAGCCAGCAAGCCAGCAGGCCCCGAAGTGCAACTACAAGCACAGACAGGCAGAATTAAAGGATGTTTTTGTAGTTGTTTCTTGGGGGTGTTTGGGACAGAGCCTGCCCAGCCAGTCAGTGAGCTCGCAACTGGCAACAAGACAGCCAGCTACCCGAGCCACCTGCGCAAAAAAGGCAGGCAGCGGTCGAGGCAGCAGTCGAGGCCCTTGGTTTCCCTTTGCCCTTGGTTTCCCTGTTGTACAAAAAGCCCCCAATTAACAAATGTGGTTTGAAGGATTGAAGGAGTACAAAAAGGGTCCCCTAATTGGCGTGGATTTGGGTACGGGCAGGATAATTCCTACTTTAGAATTGGTTTAGTATTCTAAAAGTAGTATTCCCGGATTTGGGATTCTCCAAAACCGGTTTTAGTATTAGGGGACTGTTTAGCATTAGGAAGAAGGGATTAATCAATAAAGCCAGAGATCCAGAGATTCTTTGAAGATCTTCTAGGTAAGGCTGACGGATGAAGAAGCCCTCGAGCAGCTCCAGCAAACAACACATTTCACCACACGTCTTTCCGTCAGAAGATTTGCTGGCGAAACTCGCATACACTTTCCTGCCTTCAGTTGGGAGGACCCCTTTAACTGATACTGGAAAACATGCATTCGCAAGGTCCAGAAGGCAACAGTGAGGCATGGTCAGGGCTTGACTTTTGGCACGGGACTCTTTGGTGGACATCATTTGGAGATTCACCAACCACTCCCCGCCACTCCCTATTAAGTCATCGCCATATGTGACCCTTTTTTTCCCCGGCGTCTGGTCTTGCTTTTAAAGATAGGGGCCCCAAAGTGCAAGCTGAGGCTTCTGGCCTCCGCCTCAAAGAACGTCATTCCCTGTTTGCGGTAAAGAGGACCGAACAAACCCAGGGGTTGTCCTTTTTGCGTAACCATGGGTTTAAGTCTGCAGCCTCCCCCCCCCCCCCGAAAAGTGCCTCCCCGGACACAATCGGCTCGCTGAGAACCACCGCCGTGCCCCCAAACAGCCGGACAGAGAGCTGGGGGAGCTTGGTCCCCAGCCTCGGCCAAGATGGCAGCGCTGGTGAAAAGATCCGCTCCCATACCGCTGAAAAGATGGGCCCATGTGTGGGCAAAGGCCCCTTTGGAGTTTAGCAATTTGAGCCTGGTGCCGAATTACTCCTGAGCCTTTCTGAGGCCCGAAAGTCCATGCGCAGTTTCAAGTCCAACAGCGGTACGAGGGTATAAACTTGAACATGGCGAATGAAAAGAATGAAGCCATGGGCGGATTGGTAAAAAAGGAGGCTCCCGTTAGACCTGTGTAACCTGCGTTGGACCAACTGCCATTCCCAGGACTATATGAGCAGCGCTCGTTGGTTTCAAAGTAGGCAACACCGCCAAGAATTAGAACCTCACTATTGTGATTTAGCTAAAGCAAAAACGGCAGGCAGAAACTTTGCTTGGGTGAATCGCATGACGTGGCACAAGGAACTGTCATCCGTCAGGCTGTCCGTGTGTAATGTCGAGTTCGGCGAAAACACGCTCATCCATGAGTCAGGTCCCCCGTACTTCAATGATGATTTGGATTGACAAGTTCATGAACCGGAGCACGCCTCCCGCCAACAAATAAGAAACTGCACCAGCGCGATGTTTAAAGAATACAGTCCTTTTCAGAAAAGGACTTTGAGCACTTCCATGTTTGCCGGAGGTCACCGGCTTGTTGTTTTTCTCCTTTGGAAACCGAATGGAAACCAACAATTTGGCCAACCATCTGCTTCCATTTGCTCAAGTCCCTGGACAAAATGAGCAAAATATGTCCAGGAGATGGATTCCCTTAAAAACAAACAGGGGAAAAGTCAACAAGCATTCATTTCAGCCAAACATATTTTTGTCCAGGCGTCAGTAGGGAATATGCTTAAGCACATAAGCAAATATTTGCCCTGAGTGTGCTTAAAGGCTTAAGCGAATACTTCCTAAGGATCGCCCGAAAAAGTCCCAACTTTTTTGTGTACCACCAAAATGGTTTTTGCAAAGAGCTTGAAGTCCATCAACTCGGGAAGTGAGAGTCCAATGGCGAACACCGAGGCGCCAGGACCTCGCCCACTCGTTCACCTCCGCCTTCAGCAGCGGCTTTGCCGCCGCCGATGCGGCAGCCGTGAGGGCCGCGCAAAGCGCGGGGCCGTCCAGCGCAGCGGCGATGAGCAAAGCGCCCTGCCGTGGGCCCGTCGTTTGTGTGGGGGAAGTCCCTGAAACCAGAGAAACCAAGGGGGAACTACGATTTTTGGGAGTACCCCATGAGACAAACCCATTTAAGGGATCTCGGTGAACAGTCATTTCCAGCTGGACATGGATCCACAAGAAAGGAACCTTCGTCATGGTGGGGTTGCAAATCCCAGGGATCGCCGTTAACCTCACACTTGATTCGTGGGAACTGGGTCCATGGAAGCTAGGTGTTTTCAAAATTACCCTCAAAGTGACTGCTTTAAAAGGGATCCCAAACAGTACTTCGGGAACCCTCAACAAAAAGGAACCGCTTGAAGGGACCCAGCAAGGAGTCAGGAGGTCAACAGGCAAGCGCAGTGAACCCCGCGCCTCCTTCCGCATCCATTTCTTGGCCGCTTCCGCGTGGGGTGGGCCTGACGGAACTTGGGGTAAGGCTCGCCGATTTGCCAACCCCAATCGGGAGCCTTCTGGGCACTACTCCGTTGGCCCAAACCGTGAACTTGAATCGAAAGATTGAACCTCCAGCCGATTCGCTTTGGGCATCCTTGCCTGGCCTTGGCTCGGGGATCCCTCGCTTAAGGGGCCAGCGCCTCCTAAGCAGCATCTACAGCAGCTGACTGCCTCAAAAGGAAAGTCTTCGTTCAAGCCAAGCGCAAATCAGCAACCTGTTGCGAGCAAATAGGGGACCTGGAAATGATCCACATGGTGTATAGCTAGAAAAATTGGATTACGTAGTGAATAAGTTTGTTACATGCTTAAATCATGTTCTCACCACCCTGAGCCCCAATCATCCTGGCTTCCGCAAAGACATACTGTTGATGAACGAACTCCCCCAGTTGACGGATGTCCCATTCACATGACTTCATCCCGGCTGGTACGGAGTTTTGTCCACCCACAGTATCACACACGTTCTCACCAAAATGGCTATGAACCTAAATGAACCTTCACAAGTGGTTTGTGGACATGAATCCGCATTTAAATGACGTCCTCCACCAAAGGGTCCCCTACTAAGTTCACGCCCAAATGACCTTGCCAAGACGGAGGTCCAACTGGGCTGAATCCAAGGAGGGGTCCGTCCCCAACCACGCCTTGTATTGACGAGCCAACAGCTTCCTTGGCTGCCGCGAACTTTTAGCCGGATAGGTGACAAGCTTTCTCTACGCTCTACAAATGAAAAAAGGTTATGTTCGTCCCCTGGGACAATGAGCAAACAAGAAACAAACAAACAAACAAAACAACCAAACAAACATTCATATCAGCAAATGACAGCTACGGGTCTGTCCGGCAAAAATCAAAGGTCCCACCACCGGACCCTTCAAAGGCCCAAGGCCGAAGCCGAAGGCCTGCATCGCCCTCCACCGCGACCTGCGGCACGGCGTGGGGCGTGAGGTCCGCGATGAAGCACCCACCGGTGGCCAGCTGGCCGCCCACCGCATCCAGGGCCGCCCAGTCAAAGGAGATGGACACCTCCGAGGCAAGTTGAGGGTACCCCCTCAGCTTCCCTCCAATTGGTGGGTTGGATGGGTGGCAACCCACCCTCAAAAGAAGAAGCAATCGATCGGCTTTTCTCCTGTGAACTAGGATGGCTTCAGCCCCCAGGCGAAAAATATTAGCAAAACCCTGAAATTTGGAGCGCCCACTGCTGCATCAGTGGAAACCATCAGGATCCAACACTGGTCACTTTCCACAAGACATAATGTATGTGCCCACTGCGTTCCAGCATTCACGCAAACACTTCGCAGGCAATAACTATGACAAAAAGCACAAGCACACAACAGGTAGGCGCGCACGCTGGCATGTTCCATCATGGCACTGCGCCAGGACAGGATGACGGCAAAGCTACGCAAGCAACTGCCCAGCACATCAAAACAGAACACGACCATCGGCGCAAGCGCGTGCTACATTGGCATATACATTGATTTGTGCGCTCGCGCGACAGCAACGCGTTGCATATTTCTGCCGCGGGCGTGTGTTGAGTGGGTTAGTCAACAAGGAATCTAATCACATGCCTAGCCTACCAGGACATGCAATCTTTACAAAGCTCGCGTTGCCACACTGTTATGGTTGCAACGAAGGCTTGACAAGGGCATTAAGAAGTACGACCAAGTAGCTTTCAGTTTTCTCTATCTTTACCCTCGGCCACACCCCGACCCACACACACACACAGCAGGGCATGCCAAAAACGGCACTGCTGCCGCTAAGGCTGATCAGCTCGTCCAGGGCCTGGCCGCAGAGCTTCACTCACTCAAGATACTACTGATGGGATTACATGAGGCTTTCAAACTTCTGGTGCTTTTGATGGGTTGATGGGTGCTTTGAGCGAGTAAAGGGCAGCAGGGAAACCAGTTCGCTTGTTGGGCCCGGGTTGCAACACGGCATGCAAAGCTTCTTCCAAAGCCACCTGGGCCTCCACGCACAGCAAAATCTTTTGAATGGCGCAAGGGGCACTTGTTCAATAGCCAGCCGGGCTGACATTGACCCGAGCCCACGCCAACTGACATCTTCTTATGGCCCCGGCTACGTTCAGCATGGCCATGTTTCACAAAAAACAAGCGGAGGGCGGAGAACTAAAGGAAGGCGGCAGGCGGCAGGCTGTTCACTGCATGCGGGAGACGGCTACTGGTCACTGAAGTGAGGCATGCTGCAACTGCGGCACACGGTGGATGCGGCGGATCTGTGTAAAGAGCTTCCACAAAGCAGCATGATTCGTCAGGGTCTCCTCCAGCTTGATCACAAATGCAGGCCCGGGCCGCCCTCGCCTGCGCTTCCACCTGGCTGCGACAGCTTTTGCCTTTGGCTTGGGTTTGGCCTTTGCGCCACGCTTGTACTCATCCATGGATCGGAACCATTGCCAGCCATTGGACATTTGAATTAACTGCTTGACAAATTCTTCGCAATGCACAGATTCTGCTTCCTCGAAATCACAAACGATGACAAAGTCGTCAGCCAAACTTTTCTTGTGGCATATGATGCCCTCTAGGCGTCCTCCTTCAGCAAACTTGCACCAATTTTGCTTGGAGATGCAGGCTAGACCGAAGGCTGCAATTGTGCAAGCAATCTTGCACATCTGAGACCTGAGCATGCGTGCAACTCTCACCCATTGCAATGACCTTCGTCCCAACAAATTGCAAACACACAAGAATCAGAATCATAATACTTAACCAAACATGAAAATCCGCCAAGGCTGGAAAAGGCACGTTCCTCCTCGCTTCGAAGCCAGTTCATCCAGACTATCTAGAATTACAAGATGAGACTGGGCACAGAACGTCATAAAACCTCCGTCATGATCACCCACACGGCGCACACGGAAGTCGATTCCTTGAATGTCAGGCATTGGACATGCTTCCTGGCAGGCATCTACAAGCTTCAAACGCTTCAAGCTGAGCAAGAACTTTGCCATGTCCTCACTTGGGTCGGTAGTCGCATCACGTTGGGAGAAATTGTTGCCTCTCTCCAGCTTGGGCTTCTTGAAGGCCGGCCCTCTTGGGTTCGAATGTCGATGCCGAGCAGCTTCTCGATTGTTGCTCTTGATCAACTGGCTGCGAGTTCGAAAGCGCACCAAGCCTGGGGCGTCAGCTGCTGGTCGTTCGCCTGTGCACTCAGCGGCTTCGCGTTGCGTCAGGCCAGGCAACACAGACGATGCTTCGCCTTGCGCGTTGTCACGGTCTCGTTCAGAGCGTGCGCGCATGGCCCTGAGTTGCCGAGCACGAAAGGCCCTATCACTGTCATCGCGACTTCTCTGGGCTCCAGGGCAACCCTTCCTGCGACCTTGGCTGTAAACTCGAAACCGTGCCCCATGCCGTAACCTCCACGCCTGCAGAAATTCTCGAGCAAACTCGGTCATCTCCAAGCCCTGTGCAGACTGCTTGGCAATCTCTTCAGCACATGATGGTCCGTCCAGCTTGACTTCCAAGAGGTCACTATAGGAAGTTCCAGTGCCCTCCAGAGGGCCTGCATGGCTCTGCAACAAACGCTTGCCGTGTGCGTGTGCTCGCTCAACTCGACAGCTCCCATCTTCCTGGGCAAGGTAGAAAGAGATGAGCTCATGCCAGGCCGAACATCCAGAAGAACTCAGGCGCTCCTCTGCCCAGCCAGTTCGGTTGTCAGAGATGTCTCTGGCGCGAGCCATGAGTCGGTGCAGTGAGGACATAAAGTCGCGAAAGGCTCGGTGAATGGTCTGATCATGAGTGATCTTGAGGCCCTCTCGCAGCAGCTTGCGGACGCGGATTTCAGCTGAAACCTCGAAGGTTTGCCATGTCTGGACACCAGCCGCTTGTTCAGCTGCTGCCTCATTGACTGAAAAAACACTGAAGCACATCTCAAGGCTTGAAGGAGGAAATTCACACTGAAGTCTTTCCAGCATCAGCTGGACCACAGTGGCGCACGCCTGCAAGGCCTCTGAGTAGTCACGTTTTCTGGTCTTGGGGTCCCACAAGAAATGCTGACTTTCTCCATAGAAGATGGGCCCTGCTTGCATGGCTTGGCGTACCACGCAATGCGTACAACTCTCCTCATCTCCCGGCTGCATCTCGAGGATGCGGCCATCCAGGAACAGCCTCCTCAACCTGTCAAGGCCAAATGCGCTCTGCGCAACGCACATGCTGTGAGTCACATGAGCCAACCGATCACCCTTGCAACTTGTCAGACGGTAGACGTCAACATGTTTTAAAAGGCAACTTTAGACTTAGGTGATATGAAGAACGTTGATTGATTCCCATAAAGCAAGCCAATCGTCATTGAAAGAAACTCTGTAACACTGGCGCTGCCTGTCTGAGAAGTCACGTATCTGACTGCGAGTCTCGGCGCAGTCATGCCAGTCGGCATCGAAGAGCCGAAGAAATGACGCTGTCATCGCGGAAAGATCAGAGAACAAGCCCAGAAGAACGACAAAATGCGTTGACATGGATTTCAAGGCCTTCGCGCAGCGGTCTCGAAATTCCCGAGACTGTCGAGCATCTGAGGCTTGTGCTGCCAAAAGCAAGGCTACTGGCAACAAATTGCGACACAGTCGCCGCGTGGGTTCTGAACTGGTATCAAACCTGATGGAGCTGTAAGAGAAGGCTTTGCTGACATTTCCTGAAGTCGCTTCCTGCAAAGCCCTCAGCTTGATCTGCCACTCAGTAGAGTAGGACAAGCTGGGCACCAGGCCATCTTTCCCAAAGACAATTTCGTGAAAGCGGCTGAGTGTCGGCTCGTTCTCCACGGGCTTGTGCAGCGCAATCCTCTGCAAAATGTGGGGTGAGTTGCCATAACTATAACATTCTGTTTCGAAACTGACTGACTCATGATAGCCCCCCCCCCCCCTCTCCAACACTTGAACAATGTCCTCACCGCGTGAGCGGTGTCTCGCCACTTCACGGACAGATTCGGCATGTGGTCAACTAAAAAGCAGGAGACTTTCGCCATCGCTGCCGCGCCGTCCACTGCCACGGACCGGACCTTCTTCAAAGTGTCCTGGAACCCTTGGGCATCGGGCGCGCCAGTGATATCAGTGAACATGGTGGCCAAAGCCTGCACAACCTCCTCCTAAGCTTTAAGTGACTGCATCGTGAGATGCGAATAAACTTATCATTAATGTACAACAAGTCCAGGCGGGAGGCGGTAAGTTCAAACCAACAAACAAAATAGTTGATCAGACATCCCATCAAAGCGTCCGCTTTGTGTTTGCTCCAATCCTCATCGAGCTCTTCGAGCTTAGGCGTGCCAATCGACCAGGCTTGCACCAGCCCACTTTGGTGCTTCCCAAGGACATCGCCTCAGCAAAGCTATGTAAAGCCTTTTTGCCCAAGGGTTTAAGTGGGCAGCTGGCCTGTTGCAAAATAACTCCGGTTCAACTCAGCCGCGTTGTACACTAGCCCAATATGGTCAAGGCACACCGATAACGGCACACAACATGTGGAGCACGCTCGTCAAACGTGAGCGTTATGCTGTGACACTGCTTCAAGACTGCCACCTTGCGAGCCCTCACCACTTCGGCCATGACTTTGACCATTGAGGAAGCTGCTTTCCGTGTAACATCCTAGCAGGATTTGCCAGTGCGTGTGCAAGACAATGGACATGAAGTATTTCAAAAAAAGAGTGGCTGTGTTGAATGTAAGCTGACAACAAGGCAACAACCAATTGTCCTGACGAGACTGCTGCAAGAATGTCTCAGTGAGGCTCAAGGAACTCATGGTCTTGAAGGATACTGGGTTGGTGATCCAGCTCCAAAGCCTCACCATGTCTGGCAGCTGCGGCACATGTCCTGCCAAGAGCTTGTTGTCAAGTGTGGACTCAGCCAAGAGCTTCAAGGGGCTGGAAGTCGGGGAGTAATAGGCAATGATTGCGGCCTTGTGGATGTTGCTTTGCGCGTGCAATCGAAGACATGACGATTGCAAACTCGCCAGGCCCTCGACTTGGCACATTGCCTTAAGTGACAGTGCCTTCAATCTTGCTAAAGCCAAAGCAGAACTTTGGCAAGCAGAGCA